GCCCCAGTCAGGGGCCACAACTCATCCTGGCCTATGGGTGCCCTTCCCCACAGATCATCCAGCTGACCCCGGTGCCTGTGAGCACACCCAGCGGCCTGGTGCCGCCCCTGAGCCCAGCCACACTCCCTGGACCCACTTCACAGCCTCAGAAGGTCCTGCTGCCCTCCTCCACCAGGTAATTGCAGCTGAGCCCACACTCAGAGGCCAGGGAAGGGGTGGGGCGGGGCCAGCTTACCTCACTCCTCCCCATTTCCTCTCCCTGCGGCAGAATCACCTATGTGCAGTCAGCGGGCGGGCACGCGCTGCCCCTGGGTACCAGCCCTGCATCCAGCCAGGCTGGAACAGTCACCTCGTACGGGCCCACGAGCTCTGTAGCTCTAGGCTTCACCTCGCTGGGGCCCAGTGGCCCCGCCTTCGTGCAGCCCCTGCTCTCAGGTGAGGGGCGGCCTGGCAGGCAGTGCTGGGGACCCAGGGTGGGGCTGAGGCAGTCCGGGCCCTAACTTGGTCTCCTGCTTCTCCTTCTCTGTCTCTCAGCAGGCCAAGCCCCACTGCTGGCTCCCGGTCAGGTGGGCGTGTCGCCTGTGCCCAGTCCCCAGCTGCCACCTGCCTGTGCAGCCCCCGGAGGTCCTGTCATAACGGCGTTTTACTCTGGCAGCCCTGCACCCACCTCCTCAGCACCCCTGGCCCAGCCGTCCCAGGCCCCCCCAAGCCTGGTCTACACTGTGGCCACCAGCACAACCCCACCTGCAGCCACCATTCTGCCCAAGGGCCCGCCAGCCCCTGCCACTGCCACCCCAGCCCCGACTAGCCCTTTCCCTAGTGCCACAGGTAGGTGTCAGATCAACCCAGAGCAGGGTGAGTTGGGGGACCCAGGGGATGGGCTCCAGTCAGGCCTGGCTCAGCAAACACTTTTCTCACCACTAGCAGGTTCCATGACCTACAGCTTAGTGGCCCCCAAGGCCCAGCGGCCCAGCCCGAAGGCCCCCCAGAAAGTGAAGGCAGCCATCGCCAGCATTCCTGTGGGGTCCTTTGAGGCAGGTGCCTCTGGGCGACCTGGCCCTGCACCCCGGCAGCCTCTGGAGCCTGGCCCAGTCCGAGAGCCAACTGCCCCAGAGTCTGAGCTTGAGGGGCAGCCCACACCACCAGCCCCTCCACCTGCCCCAGAGACCTGGACTCCCACGGCCCGGAGCAGCCCCCCACCGCCCCCGCCTGCTGAGGAGCGGACCAGCGCCAAGGGTCCTGAGACCATGGTGAGTGCCTGCAGGCCGTGAGGCTCCCACTGCCACTTGGCTGTGCCTCTCCGTTGACGTCTTTGCTTTTCTGTCCTACTCCTCTTCCCTCCATGCCTGTGTGTCTCTCAGGTTAAAGGGTCCCCCTGTCCTTTCTGCCTGCCTGTGTTGTCTTCCCTCCCATCTGAGTCCCCTGTCTTGGCCTTCCTGAGGCTGTGTGACGGCCTTCTCGAGGGGTCTGCCGGGCGGGTTCAGATTCAACTCTTTGTTTCTGGTCTTTGCCCCAGAGTCTGAGCTCAGTGTTCTCCATCTCCCTGCCTATCTCCATCCCAGGCCAGCAAATTCCCCAGCTCATCTTCAGACTGGCGCGTCCCTGGGCAGGGCCTGGAGAATCGTGGGGAGCCTCCCACTCCTCCCAGCCCAGCCCCAACTCCAGCCGTAGCCCCTGGTGGCAGCAGCGAGAGCAGCAGTGGGCGGGCAGCCGGGGATACTCCCGAGCGCAAGGAGGCGGCTGGTACTGGCAAGAAGGTGAAGGTGCGGCCCCCGCCCCTGAAGAAGACCTTTGACTCTGTGGACAAGTGAGCATGGGCTGGGGCCTTGGTGGAGCGTGTGGGGTGGTGGGAGTGGGAGCCGCTGCAGGCCGAGGCGGGGGAGGTGACCCTGCCAGCCCTCCAGCAGGGTCCTGTCAGAAGTGGACTTCGAAGAGCGCTTTGCTGAGCTGCCTGAGTTTCGGCCTGAGGAGGTGCTGCCCTCCCCTACCCTGCAGTCTCTGGCCACCTCACCCCGGGCCATCCTGGGCTCTTACCGCAAGAAGAGGAAGAACTCCACGGGTAGGCGAGCGTCGGACAACCAGGGTCCATAGGTGGAGGGCAGACTGGGGCCACCTGCACTGAGTCTGCTTCTGTTTGGCCAGACCTGGATTCAGCACCCGAGGACCCTACCTCGCCCAAGCGCAAGATGAGAAGACGCTCCAGCTGCAGCTCGGAGCCCAACACCCCCAAGAGTGCCAAGTGCGAGGGGGACATCTTCACCTTTGACCGTACAGGTGCTGTGGTGGGCAGAACTCTGGGGGCCTGCAAGAAGAGTGGGTCTCTGGAAGGCAGTTAGAGTGGGAGAGGTAGGGTGGGTCCATCCAGGCTGGGAGGAAGCACAGCCTGTCAGGGCTGGGTTCTGGAGTCTGGCAGGCCCCTAAGTTGCCCTGTGACTGTGGGCAGGACCCCTCTCTGACTCTACTGTGAAATAGAATGCAGTGAGGGCTCGGATGGGCACTCAGACGGTGGTAGGAAGGCCCTGCTGCTGCTGCAGCCTTGCCATGCTGCCTGTGCCCTGCACAGGTACAGAAGCCGAGGATGTGCTTGGGGAGCTAGAGTATGAGAAGGTGCCGTACTCCTCCCTGCGGCGCACCCTAGACCAGCGCCGGGCCCTGGTCATGCAGCTCTTCCAGGACCATGGCTTCTTCCCATCAGGTGAGCCTGTCTTGGAGTCTTGGGGTCACTCGGGTGTGACTTGTCTGCACATCTCATCCTGTGCTCCCCACTGTTTTTCTGTCTCCAGCCCAGGCCACAGCCGCCTTCCAGGCCCGCTATGCAGACATCTTCCCCTCCAAGGTTTGTCTGCAGTTGAAGATCCGTGAGGTGCGCCAGAAGATCATGCAGGCAGCCACTCCCACCGAGCAGCCCCCTGGAGCTGAGGCTCCTCTCCCTGTACCGCCCCCCACTGGCACCGCTGCTGCCCCTGCCCCCACTCCCAGCCCTGCGGGGGGCCCTGACCCCACCTCGCCCAGCTCGGACTCTGGCACGGTCCAGGCTGCCCCGCCACTGCCTCCGCCCCCAGAGTCGGGGCCTGGACAGCCTGGCTGGGAGGGGGCCCCCCAGCCCTCTCCCCCACCGCCAGGTCCCTCCACAGCTGCCACAGGCAGGTGAGGGAACCCTGAGAACATGCCAGGACTCATAGTACCCCCTCAGGACATGGACAGTATGTGGGGGCAGGAAGGTTATCTCCTCTCGGGTAAAGCCATTTCGTCCTCTCCAGTTTGGGGCGGAATGAGGCCTGCTCCTCTTGTAAATACCCCCTTCCCTTGAAGCTCCCTCCCGGTGCTGGGGGGCAGCTGAGGGGCCGCAGGGGCAGTCTCCCTCCTCCAAGCCCCTGTACATAACCTGGAGTGTGTGACCTTCAGAGCTTTTCACTTTATGCAAAATGGCTCCTGTGAGGGCTGCAAGCTGGAGGGTGGTGTGGGCCTTGGGCCACAGGGAGGCGCCTGTGGAATACGGGGAGTTCATGCACCCCTTTTTTCCCCAGAGGGGCTGGACTCAGGTTAGTTTGGGGGTGGGGGCTCCTGCACTTTGCCACAGGCACGGGGAGGGTTTTCTCCTCACCCCCTCTGCCCTCCCAACTTGGGTTGTACTTTCTAAGAAGGTGATTCCCCCTGCCCTTGCCCCCTTCCCCAGAACAAAACATGTTGATCATGTGCAATATTTCTTACTGTGCCGAGAAGCCACAATGAGCGAGATTAAAGCTGTTTAACACACCTGTGTGGCTGCAGGCTCTTAACAGGGAGGGCTGTTGGTTGTACGTCCTGTCCTCAGTTGTGGAGCGGTATGCTTTCCATGATGTGGGGGGAACAATTCCAGTACCACTGTCCCCAACATCAGAGGAACCCCACAGGCCAGGTCGCTGACTTGCTGTGGAATAGATGGCTCCTCTCCAGTTTAGGAGCCCAGGGAGTCTCAATGCCTGCTGGCCCCATTCTCAGCCATTGGACTGCATGAGTTTGGGGAAGGCCTGAGGCAAGATGCCACCTGATGGTTTAGCCTCACTGGCTCTGGGGTCATTCGTCCTCAGGAAACAGGCCCCAAGAGGTCTTAGCCCAGAGGTGGCAGCGGGTGGGAGGGAGCCTAGTCTACCTGGAGTACCCTTGTCCTGTGACCCCTGCTACCCCCATGTGGCCTGGGCCAGCACTGCAACTGGGCTTGACCCCTCCCCTGGGTGACACCCCTCCTGCTCAGCATGTGGACACAGTGCCCACCCGAGGTGACAGATACCCACACCATGTGTGGAGGGATGACAACTAGCAGTGGGAGGATCAGGACATCTCCACAGAAGCGGCATCTAAGCTAGAGCTGGAGCACCTGGAAGTTCCAGCCAGGGCAACAGCATATGCAGAGATGGACAGGGTACACTGGGCTTGACTGTACTGGGTCACTGTGTTCCCAGAATTCTTGCTTGACCTTGGTCTTGTAGGATAGTGCTGGCAAGCTGGTCTTACCTAGTGTTTACTGATTGGTAGCGCCTGCCTGAAGCACACTATTGTGATAGTGGAAATTAACCTAACCTCAAGACTCACGGTGCCTTGATGGATCAGTGATGCCTCCCCTGGGCAGAAATAGAACCACAGTCAGGCATGGTGGCTCATGTCTGTAATGCCTGCACCCTGGGAGGCCAAGGTGGGTGGATTGCTTGAGCTCAGGAGTCAGACCAGGCTGGGCAACATGGCAAAACCACTTCTCTACAAAAAATACAACAAGCTGGACATAGTGGCACAGGCTTATAGTCCCAGCTATTCAGGAGGCTGAGGTGGGTGGATCACTTGAGCCTGGGAGGTTGAGGTTGCAGTGGGCTGTGGTCTCACCACTGTACTTTAGCCTGGGTGATGGAGAGAGACCCTGTCTTACACAAAAAACCTTGCAGAACTGCAGGGTCACAGATCAGGATAAGGACTAGTGGTGGTACCCAGATACCCAGACAGGTTTGACCATAAAGCAGGAAACAGCACACCGAGGAAGGAGAGTTTAATGTTGTGGGAAGGCAGCAGGATGCTTAGGGTGCGGGCTCCAGCAGGGGAGCACCTTGGCCCTGGTCTTGGGCCAGCAGACGCAGAAGCAGGGAGTGCAGAGCCCGGCAAACAGGTGTGTAGCCCAGGCGGCTCAGATGTAGGTAATCATACATGTCATGGTGGCTGATGGTGCCATCTGAGTGCACAAAGCCAGGGTCGGCATCTAGGAAGTGGGCCCGAGGATGGCCAGCCAGTGCTGCCCGTACCAGCTCATTCACCCGTCGGTTCTTCTCCCGAAGTGGGTTGGGATGCTGGCCTCGAGGAAGCAGACCCTGAGCAGGAACACGAGGTGTAGTAAGGAAACAAGCATTTGGGTATCCTGTTCTCTGTGCCAACCTGTCCTTCACCCAACACCATGAAGTTTCCAGCTGCAGAAAACACTAGGGATGGGCAAGTGGGGAGGGCAGGAGGGTAGTTCCTAAATATCACATCCTAGCTCTCATTTAGCAAGAGACTTCTGGGTTTTAGCCTCTTCCCAAGTATCACTTAGAAAAACGTTGACATTGGCCAGGTGCAGTGGCTCACGCCTGTAATCCCAGCATGACGCGAGACAGAGCTGGATGGGTCGCTTGAGCCCAGGAGTTCGAGACCAACCTGGGCAACATGGTGAAACCCCATCTCTAACAAAAATACACACAAATTAGCGGGACATGATGGCGTGTGCCTGTAGTCCCAGCCACTCGGGATGCTGAGATGGGAGGATCACTTGAGCCCTGGAAGCAGAGGTTGCGGTGAGCTTAGATCATGCCACCAGCACTCCAGCCTGGGCAACAGAGCCAGATCCTGTCTCAAAAAATAAATAAATGGCTCTCTTGTACTGTCTCTGTCTCTCTCTCTCTCTCTTCCCCTCTCTTGACTTTTTTTCCACCATGGGATGACTGAGAAAGAAGGCCCCTGTCAGATGTTGACCCCTTGATCCTAAGCTTCCCAGCCTCCAGAAATGTAAGAAATAAATCTGTTCTTTATAAATAAAAATAATAAATAAATAAATAAATAGGTGAGGCACGGTTGCTCACTCCTGTAATCCCAGCACTTTGGGAGGCTGAGGTGGGTGGCTCACTTGAGGTCAGGAGTTCAAGACCAGCCCGGCCAACGTAGTGAAACCCCATCTCTACTAAAAATACAAAAATTAGGCCAGGTGTGGTGGCTCACGCCTGTAATCCCAGCACTTTGGGAGGCCAAGGCGGGTGGATCACAAGGTCAGGAGATCGAGACTATCCTGACTAACACCGTGAAACCCCATCTCTATTAAAAAAATACAAAAAAAAAAAAAACCAGCCGGGTGTGGCAGTGTGTGCCTGTAGTCCCGGCGAGACTCTGTCTCAAAAAAATAAATAAATAAATAAATAAAATAAAAATACAAAAATTAACCAGGCATGGTGGTGCACATCTGCAGTCCCAGCTACTCTGGAGGCTGAGGCAGAAGAATCGCTTGAACCCAGGAGGAGAAGGTTGCAGTGAGCCCAGATTGTGCCACTGCACTCTGGCCTGGGCAACAGGGCAAGACTCTGTCTCAAAAAAAATAAATAAAAGATATCAACATCATGGCTCATGGCAAGGGATCAATCCCCTTTCAGAAGAGGAAATGTCTTAGCTACCCACAAGTGATGAAGCCTAGATTTACCCCAGGAATGCCTGACAACTTTTGGCCTATTCAAGGTTTTTTGAGGATTTTTCTTTTGTTTTCTGGTGAGACAGGGTCTCTGTCACCCAGGCTGGAGTGCGGTAGCATGATCACAACTCACTGTTACCTTGAATTCCTGGGCTCAAGTGATCCTTCCCCTTTAGCCTCCCAAGTAGCTGGGGTTACAGGTTTTGTACACCATCATAGCCAGCTATTTTTCTTTTTTTCTTTTTTCTTTTTTTTGAGACGGAGTCTGGCTCTGTTGCCCAGGCTGGATGCAGTGGCGCGATCTGGGCTCACTGCAAGCTCCGCCTCCCGGGTTCATGCCATTCTTTTGCCTCAGCCTCCCGAGTAGCTGGGACTACAGGCGCCCACCACCACGCCCGGCTAACTTTTTGTATTTTTAGTAGAGACGGGGTTTCACTGTGTTAGCCAGGATGGTCTCGATCTCCTGACCTCGTGATCCACCCGCCTCGGCCTTCTTTTTGTTTTTGAGACGGAGTCTCGCTCTGTTGCCCAGGCTGGAATGCAATGGCGTGATCTCGGCTCACTGTAACCTCCGCCTCCCAGGTTCAAGTGATTCTCCTGCCTTAGCCTCCCAAGTAACTGGGATTACAGGCGCATGCCAGCATGCCCAGCTAATTTTTGTATTTTTAGTAGAGACAGGGTTTTGCCACGTTGGCCAGGCTGGTCTCAAACTCCTGACCTCAGGTTATCCTCCCACCTTGGCCTCCCAAAGTGTTCGGATTACAGGCACGAGCCACCGTGCCCAACCGTTTTTTAGTTTTTCAATACCCCCAAAGTCTCAAGCCATCCCTGGGCAAAAAAGGCTAACTGGTCTCTGAGCACATTTTCAACCACAGCCACTCTGAAGGGTGCAGCAAGCTCCAATGTGAGATTCTGCCTGAAAGCCACTGCTCTATGTCAAGTTGCCTAGAACCGTGCCAACTGTGGCTGTGTCTGAGGGGGTCCCAGACCACTGCCATTCTTCCTTTCCCACCCTCCCAGCCTCTCACCAGCACCACAACCCGGGCCTGGGGCTGCCGCTCATTCACCAGTTGCACAATGGCCTTGATGCCACCAGTCACCTGCTCTGCTGTGTGTCCGTGGTTGTTGGTGCCCACCCAGACCACCACAATCTGTGGGAAAAGAGACATGAAGCAGCGGTGAGGGGGCAGCCAAAAGATGTTTTAGAGCCCCACCCAAGCCCCGCTCACCTTGGGCCGGATGTGTTCCAGCTCCCCATTCTCCAGCCGCCACAGTACATGCTGTGTGCCATCACCACCGATGCCAAAGTTAAGTGCATGCAGAGGAGAAAAGAGCTCCCGCCAGATCTGTGGGCAAGAAATGGTATGGGCACAAGGGCACTGTCCCCATGGACCATCCCCCTCTGTCCAGGTGTTAACCGAATGCCATTATGGAAGAATCTTACTTCATGGAAGCAGTCTTAAAATTTCACCTGGAGCAAACTCCAGCATGGCTGAACCTCACTTTATAGAAACCTATTAACTTTTATTTATTTATTTTTCATTTTATTTTTGAGACAGAGTTATTTTATTTTTGAGACAGAGTCTTACTCTGTCACGCACGCTGGAGTGCAGTGGCACTATCTTGGCTCACTGCAACCTCCGCCTCCCTAGTTCAAGCGATTCTCATGTCTCAGCCTCCCGAGTAGCTGGGACTATAGGCGTATGCCACCATGCCCGGCTAACTTTTTGTATTTTTTAGTAGAGATGGGGGTTTCACCATGTGGGCCAGGCTGGTCTCGAACTCCTGACCTCAGGTGATCCACCTGCCTCGGCCTCCCAAAGTGTTGGGATTACAGGCATGAGCCACAGTGCCCAGCCTATTTATTTTTTGAGACGGAGTTTCACTCTTGTCGCCCAGGCTGGAGTGCAGTAGTGTGATCTCAGCTCATTGCAATCTCTGCCTCTGGGTTCTAGCGATTCTCCTGCCTCAGCCTCCCAAGTACCTGGGACTATAGGTATGTGTCACCGTGCCCAGCTAATTTTTGTACTGTTAGTAGAGACAGGGTTTCACCATGTTGGCCAGGGTGGTCTCGAACTCCTGACCTCAGGTCATCCGCCTGCCTCGGCCTCCCAAAGTGCTGGGATTACAGGTGTGAGCCACCACACCTGGCCTAGAGTCTCTCACTTTAAACCAAGCCCCAGGCTCTGTGGCTCATGCTGAGGTGGATGGACTGCTTGAGCCCAGGAGTTCAAAACCAACCCGTGCAACAGGGCAAAACCCTATCTCTACAAAAATTAGCCGGGTGCATGGTGGTGGACACCGGTAGTCCCAGCTACTCAGGAGGCTTAGGTGGGAGGATCGCTTGAGCCCAGGAGGCAGAGGTTGAAGTGAACAGAGATCATACCACTGCAAGCCAGCCTGGGTGACAGAGCAAGACCCTGTCTCAAAAACCAACCAACCAACAAACAAAATAAAGCAAGCCCCACAGAAGCAAGACTCACTATGAAAATCCAGTCTGCTTGAGCCATGCATTGAACCAACGGTATTACAGTTGAAACTTATTTTGATGAAATCCATTACAGTTGGACATGCTTCGTGGAAAGATATTATTATGATTGAGTCTTTTTTGTGGAGTGCCATTAGAGTTGACCTTCACTTCCTGTAAAGTGACTATAGCTTTGTGTAAACCCATCAGGGCTTCGCACTGCTTAAAGCAAACAAGAAAGAGCCTCACTTTAGGCAAGCCTATGGCAGGAAAACCTTATTTTACGTCTTAGTACATTATACACAAATCCAATCTGATAAAACCAAGGCATACAATTCCTTCTCAATAGAATGTTGCACCTTACACCAAGATTCTCGTAGCCTCAGGCTGCCTCGAGCCAATCTGGGTACTCCCATAATACCCCACCTGGCCGGGGTTCTGGTCCAGATGTGTCAGCATGGGCACAGGGCTGGATGGGGCAGGGAGAGAGGGACTGCCCTCACCTCGCACTGGTGCATTAGCTGGACCAAGGAGTCCCCGATGAAGACGACTTCGGGTTCTTTATCTTTGCTGTCAGCCACGAACCGATGGTGCTGCGGGAGCGCGCGAGAGGGAGTCAATGGCACGCACGCTCCTGGGCCCACCCCGCCCTGCTCCCTTAGGCAGCGCCTCCCCAACTGCTCTCAGTTTCCCAATCAGGTAGTGAGAGTGGCAAGAACCAGCCGTTCTCCTGAGCCACCCCCGCCCCCCG